CGATCATCTTTGACCAGAGGGCGGGGCTTACGACACCATGTTTATTTATTCATGTTTTTGGAAACTTGCCTGTAAAGCAGACTAAATAATGTTGGAGCATTTGTCTAAACACATCAGTATTTAAAATGTTTACCTCTTTTGATTTGATATAAACGTCTCAAATCCATCTAGAAATGAACCCTCCCTTTATTGGTGCTGTGACAACAATCAGCCAAAAGTTATAAATGTTTAAAATGTAATTTAATAACAATTGTTCCACAAACACAAAGTTACATGTGCACTTTCTGAATACAGTCTACAAAAAGTAAACAAGTTAGACAGTTTTCTTTGGCTACAAATGCCACACGAACACGCAGCAGCTAAGAGCCGAGCGTGAAGGTCCACGCCACCGGTGACTTTACGGTCAGCTGAATGAAACCGGCGCACTCGTTGTCTCAGACCGTCTGCGACAGGTCACCGTGAAATTGGCGTCGTACTCGAGTCCTTCTGTTTGTCTTAACTTCTGACTAAAGTGAGTAAATGGCTGCTCACGCAGGTTAGTGATGCAGGGAAACTCCAGTGCACTCGCTGAAGCCCAATCAGCCCGACTAACGATGACAGTTTTGCACAAAGTCTGAGGTCACCATTATATTTGTGTTGGCTGGATTCCAATTTCAAGAAGCTGTTGCTTAAAACTGAGTCGTGGATTAAGGCCGCTTCAGTGTCTCTGTCTCCTGTTGTTCTTGCTCCAAACGCACTCGCCGGCCTCATTACAGTTATTACACGTGCTGACTGTAAACTCCTCTAGTCCGCTCCCGCGTCCCTCATCCTCCCGCTCTCAGGAGGATGCGGTGCCAGCCCTCATGATCCTGAAAAGCGCGTTGACGTTATTGCTTTTGATGGCGTCTCGACAGGCGGAGATCACTTGGTTCTTGGGCTTACCCACTGCAGAGAAGCACACGCAGAGGCAGATACGCTTAATATATCATCTTCTCCCCTGGTTCAACTGGAGGTAGTTAACAAACAGTGCTGCTATGTTAACAAACAGTGCTTGTCAGACTTACCTCGGAGCCTGCCGGCTCGCTGTATGGCTTGGTTGACAGACTTGAGACAAGCCAGGAGAGCATTGTGGTTGTTTGAGCGGATCTTGTACTCGTTGATTAGATCCCGGTTTAGATCGTACAGCTCTCTGTAGCGCTTCTTCATAGTTGTCCTACGGTGGAAACGAACAAAGATGTGAGGAAACGAAGGAAGTCAACAGTTTTTGCAGTTTCATGATAGAAATGATACTGTAACAGGATTTATTCTTCTGCGTTAAATCTGTGCTGCAGGTATGTCAAGACTGCAACCCCCTGTGCAACCCTACGCCGTTATCTGACATGCACGTCCCTGGAAATGTAACGCTGCCTCAGTGCAGCGCTTGACTACCGCCATCGTCTCGCTCAGTGCCACCAGTCCTCTGATCCATTTATGGATTTCTGTTTGCCGCGCTTTTTGAACGCATCACTGAGAGAATAATAACTATCACCTTAATAAAGGACTCGTATCATCAGTAAATTCCTGAAGCTAGATCACCAAAACTATTAGATATGTTTACCTGTAGGGGAATAAAAACATGAATAAATAATTCAAACTGTTCACAACAAAGAGAGAGAACCCAGGATTTTATTTCTACCACAGCTGGCAGTGAATAAAACACACGCCTTTCAGGGCACATACATCAATTTGCTTCCGCTTATCCTTTTAAGGGTCGCTGGAGCCTATCCCAGCTGTCATAGGGCGAGAAGCGGGGCACATCAAGCTAACATACAGAGACAGACAACCATTCACACTCACATCCAATTAAGTAAGCCGGAGTACCCGGAGAGAACATGCGAACTCCACACAGGTGGTGGAACTGAACTCAGGTGCAACAGTGCGAACCACTGCGCTGCACATACAAGTCCAGATAATTCAACAATAATGTAGCAACATGGCTGCAAGTATCATGAAGTAAAATCCTGAGATAACTCACATGTCACCCATTAGGCGCGCGTCCTCTGCTTGCACCAGCATGTTTCTGATGTAGTTGGAGTGGTCAGCCATAGCTGCAGTTAGTTTCTGGTGGACAGAATGGAACTCGTCCACCTAGCAAACACATTTAAACGTACAAGTCACCTTAACCCTTTAAGACCTACCATAGAACCAAGTCCGCCAGAGCTTATATTATATGTTTACATGCTGTGGAGCCATTTTTG